ATTCGGTTGGACAGACCGTAGTGACGTATATGGTGTTATTCAGATACCTTCAATTCTGTAGCATTATAGTCACAGGATGCAACTAAGATAAATGTGTATGATAATGTGCGGGCCCTGTAAGGGGGCCAAGGGGAGTGTTAGAGACCAGAGATTCTGATTCTGAGTGGGGTTACCCTTCTTGGGACAGTTCTTAGGTATCAGATCCTGGTACTCCTAACAATCTTATTGGTAATGTATGGCCGATTTGAAAGGGGCAGCTGAGGAAGATTACTTGAAACCCTTATCAATGTCCCTATGGTTGTGACAATATTATTCGCCTTGCACAGGAGGTATGGGATGGTTTGCTGTGGGGTAGGATTTATAAATGGATTTATGGTATGCCTGGCAGAATGGTGACTTTACAGAAAGCCCATAGAGGCCCTACTCACTGGTAGTTACTGTATACTATCATATTTTTAAAACACTATTGTTATTTCAATTTTAAGAGTTCTTGTTGTTGAGATAATGTATCTTTTTCTCTTCCCTCCCCCGTTGATATGTTGTGCCAAGCCTCTGTGTTTCTATACTTTTTTCACCCATCTGGGGGGCGCGATGGATAGCTTTGAGCCATGGTGCACATCTCGGATATGAGTCCGTGTTGCAAGACTCTCTAATACGGTACTAGGATAATATGATAGTTCCATTCTGTGTTGTTAGGAATTTCCACATTCGAAGCAATAGCTTTCTATCACCGGTATGTACTAGTGCAACTTATCAAAGGTGCCATCTGATCATCTGATAGCACATATGATCGGATCACTTTCTTCCTTCTACCTAAGCCCTAACCGCATGGGAACGACCATGCATCCCAGCACACCAGGTGGAATCCGAGGAGAAAAGGAAGAGCAGGAAAGCTAGGAGAAGAAGAAGGGTGTTAGGGGGAATCACTGGCCTCGCTCGACATACATCGGCAGGGTTCCTAACGGCCATGGCGCTTCTCGAGGTAATGCGCGGTAATTGCGAAGAGCTATAGACGATGCTGGGGGTCCTCTAATAGTCCGTCCAGTGTAGTGATATCCCAGTACGACCATCTTTGGCCTTTACAGCAGGTCTTACAGGGTGAAGAAGGGACATCCAAGAGTAGGGTAGGACTGCAGGGAAAGATGCGCCCTGAGAGGGAGGGCGGGAAAGGGAGAAAAGTACGAGTGATACTTCATGATTACCACGCCCCCCAATTTCTGTCCCAAATACTAGGCCAACAAGTGGGACGAATGAACTGGGCCGGAGTATTAAGGTTTGCGAACAAGCCTTTTGTGCAGGAACAAAAGTTCGGGCTCTACTTGCGGTCTCAAATAACAGCATCTTTGGGCGCATTCCACAATCCCGGGAAGCAGTACTGGTGTAGTAGGGTAGCAACTATATCCTGAGCTTTATAAAGTTATGAGACGCCCATCGAGAGGAGGGGGGGGGATGTGGCAAGCCCAAGCTAAAGTCTGCTTACAGTCAATCAGAATGCGCATTCGGACGATGGATGAATAAAGTAGTATACAACAGTAAGATATATATTTTGGTCGCGTAATATAAAAGACTGTGGAGGGTGATGAATTGCCGGGGTTGACTGCACCACACTTGGCCCCCCTGTCCCATAGTCTGTCTGGTCCTTGGCCTGTCTCGCATAGGACGTTAGGGCAACCAAAAATATTCGGACAATGGCCATGATGTGTCCAGTTCGATAGTACCCCTTAGACGGACTGGGCTATTAGGATCACTACCTGGGCTTCCTTCAGGATCTCCAGATTTCAGGAGCTGGGCGCTGTTGGGCTAAAGATCTCGGAACGGTTGCAAAACGAGCAAATAACCCCCCAGCGCCTCGGGGTCTCGAGGTTCCAACGCTAGTCTCGGTCGTATAGGCCGGGGATTTAGCACTGTGCTCGTAGGGACCTGGCGCCAAGAGGTGGTTGTGTTAAGTAATTGTGGTGTTGGCTTGCGGGTTTGTTGGTACTCGTGGTGGGTGGGTTGACGTTTGTGAAAGCGACTGCTATTGCATACCGCCAAATTTTGGGCTTCCTGCTCTGACGATGCTGTATGCAATGGTAGTTGTGTTCACGAGCGTCACCCCATTGCGAGCGGGTTGATGATCTAGGCGGGTGTTGGAGATGACGTACTCGAGTACAGTATTTGTGGACCTTTTCTTTTCTGCTCTTTATTGGCTAGGCCGATGGGATTTGGTTTTTCCCGGGATGTAGGAGCTTTGTTACCCCTAGATGACTATTAGAGTCTCCAGTCCTTTACTCTATTCCACCTCCCTCACCAAACTCGGTGTTTGAACCCTTTTCACCCTCACTTTGACTCCCCAGTCTGCGCCTATAGCCAGGTGATTTTTTCCCCAACAAAGCCAATCGGTTCCCACGAGACCAGAATTAATGCTTTTTTTTTTTTTTTAAGAGCACTCAAGGCTTGAAAACTTACAGCCTAACTGGATGGGGGAAAGCTCGAATGGTGTGGGACTTGGACTCATACTCAAAGTTTGTGCAGGCTTACAGTTTTTAGGTGCAAACTGACATACTGGTGGGCGAGGCTTTACTAGGAATTGTGCCGACAAATCCGGTGCAGGACGGATTCGTTGTGGATAGCAACCTTGCTGTGATAGGAGAATTGTTTTTCAATAGCTGTGGTAAGTGGGGACTGGTTAGTACTGTACCTGCTCTTTAGCATTTCTGATGGCGCCTTATTTCCAATTACCCGATGGTCTGTTTGCCTCCTCTTCTCCTTTCTTCTTACTCACCTTTCAAGTAATGCTAGATGGGGCCAACCAAACGAATTCCTTCTCGATCGGCGATTGGATAGTTCAATTTTTGGCGCTGTTGATGGCACTGGGACTTGTCCTTTACCTTCAAAACACTCTCTGCCGGAATTCTGGATCGTAACTTACTGCAGGGATTGGGGCTAGTTACTGGCATACCACTTACAGCCACCGTTGTTACCTTTTGCGCCTGAGGGATTTGAGTCAGAGATGGGATTCGGGTATGAGGCTTGTAAGGACACCGAGTTCGAACGGAATGGGAAGCTGAAGAAACCTTAGTGGAGCTATTGCCCGGATTATGCTTTGTATGCTGCTGGATTCTCCGCCCATTGCTTGGGGATGGTGCGCACAAACGCTAAGGCGGACCCTAGTACCCTCGGGTTGTACCACATATCCAGAGGATGGGCAGGGGCAGTGGCCACATGGCAAGGTGACAGGCGGTTACTTGACATCAATACTAAGCCCAGAAGAACCTCACTCTTGTACTATCAAACAATAAGGAGAGGAGCTAGCTGACTGTTCGTGGTCTTTGTCTTCCCACCTCGCCGGCTGCCTGCATAATGGAGCTTATCTTCCTGGCTGCTTGGATTGTTCATCGGGCACATGACAAGGGCTCGCTAGTCACTTACGGTATATAATTCACTAAAGGGCTATTCAGGTACTGGGAGGGGGATAGAACTAGCTTTGGGATCGAGGGGGTCACAAGGGAACGAGATTTCGTGGAACCCATCGCAGTCTGGTGACAACTTACTTGTTGCACCATCAACTAAGACTCACTCGCTCTCGCATAAGTATGCAGTATTCCGCAATTCTCTTTTCTTTACACGACATTGGGTAGCTGCAGGTGGATCTTCTCGGGGTGGGTTGAGTTGCTCTTTTGTGAAGTACTATGAATTATATTTGGATGCCTTATAGACGGAGAGGAGGCAGCAATAGCGGCTCTTATCACTCGGTGCGAAAATAGGTCCCTCGCAGGTCCTCATTACCGGGCTTGTGGAGGGGTCTGCGGAGAAGGTAGTGCCCTTCTACCAGTATGATAGGCTGCCATATCAGGGCTTACACTGGAACTTCAGTGACCGACAATAAACTACGCCTTTGGCATTGACCACGAGACGGCCTGTAACGTTTTTTCTTTTGCCCTTTTGTTCTCCAGAATTGGAGGATTCTCAAATATCAAGTAATTGGCTAGTTCTCTAAAGGTACAACAGTTAGCACTGTTGCACTTGCAGGTATGGCACGTATTCAACCGAGTGGGTGGTCAGGCTACTGGGGGTGGGTATGGGGCTTGGTGAAAATTTTGTACAGTACAGTACTTGACTGATAGGTCTTCTTGACTCTCGGCGCTTGGGATAGAGAGTTTCTGGTGCAACTCTGATATCGTGTGAGTGTCGATTCGACTCAATCGAGACTGATTTTTTGGCAGTGCAGTCAGTCAGACATGGGATATCTGTTATTTGAAGGGACTACAAATATTTTACTAGTACAATTACCGGTATCGTATTCCGTTCCCAATAGCCCCGTTGAGGAGAGGGGTACAGTACACCGGGGCTGGGCCTGAAAGTAAGAATGGTCTGTCTACGGGTAGGCGCCTAGAATTCTCCGCGCCACGTGGTATACAGAAGCAGGAATATGCCGGCATTATGCGGGTGCCTTAGGGCCTGTTTGGATGTCCAGAGGTTGAAATCCATGGATTACGGAAGAGGAATTGAGAGATCGCGGTCTCCGGGATTTAATTATAGTGGCGCTTGATGAAAAATATCATTGGTGGACAGTTTGTGATAAAGAAGGCTTGGAGAGGGATGTGTTGCGTGCAACCGAGGACTTCTGCTTGAATTCAGAGAAAACTTGAATCTCAGATATTAGGGGGAAAAAAAGTGGACACCCAAACCTGACAAATGTTAGGATTCTCGGAGTTTACCAAGAATCCTGGAATATCATGACATCCAAACAGGCCTTTACTCTTAATTCAGAAACGTTAGCGAAAGTTAAACTCGTCTGATCAAGGGGGTTTGAGGGTAATTCGCGCAGGGGAAATCCGGGTGGATTTTTTATATTTTTACTTCCTACTCGAGTATGACGGGTTCTGGCACTGAACTTGAACCTCCTTCCCGATGTCACCGGGTCAATTGTGGGGTTCTCTCAACAGAAAAAGTATGATAATTACCTAGGGTGATTAAGTTTTTCCTCGAGGACCCCAGCGGGTTCCTTCAATGGGTATCGGTGACGAGGGAATGTTCTCAGTGCTCGCGGCATGGGCATGATACCCGTATTCTCACGTTCTATCTATCTTCCCGGACCTACGGGCCTTTCCAGGAATAGAAGCTAATCTACCATATCCCGAGCAGTTACTGCACTTCAGTCAACCGAATACTTCGCTGCGAGTACAGTACCGCACAAGTACTTGAGTACGGTACAAGTGAGATACTCGGGAGCTGAGTGGTTTGACAGATACCAGTACGGCTCCTAGGGGAGTTTGCATCTGCAGCAAAAGCATATTCCAGCAGTCAATCATCCTTCCACCAAACGGAGACGCACTCTGCTTAAGCAATCATATCTGACCACCGCCATTGGGGGGGAGGAGGAAAGAATTCTTCACCATCCTAAGACGGATTATCTCATCTGCACGGTAATGCACTGTCACTCGAGTACGGTAGGTCAGGTGGCTTGGAAATTACCAACGCTTAACCTGATAAAGATAGGTTATTTGGGTGCCGAGTTTCTATCTTTAGTTTGTCATAGCATACTCGAGTAGTAAAATATAACCCAGAGGTGCTTGAAAGGCTGGGATGAAAAGAAGGTTATGACATGATACCGGTACCCCCTTGTTCCATCGTCCGTCTTATATGCCGCTTATTATTATGCTCGGAAAGGCAAGCCAGGCGCATGCAGAAGCGCTCGAGCAGGCTGGATATCGTGCCTCTGCTTCTCGAAGGTGGAGGAAGCTCTTTTTTGCGGGGAAATCTTTTGCCTGTGGTGGTTGGGGTGGGGGTACGCTCTGCTGTGATTTGTGATAGACAGTGACTGTATGAGCTGGGGAATTGTTAGCTGACTGGGATAGATGGTCTGGGAGGACCTCTCATATAAGGAAGCGAGCATTTCCGTCAACGGTTTCGGTATTCAGAATCATTTAATTAGCGGCTTAAAACACTAGAACTGGGTTTAGATTGCTATTCTACTATCACTGCTACACTCTTTACTACTTTTAACTTTTAATATGTCCCAACAACCCCCCCGCGTTGATGTTCCGGTCTCCACTGAGGGCCTTTTGGCGCTCACTTGGGGATTAAACTCTCTTGTTTTCGTCGTCCTGGTCATTAGACTGGTGCTTCACAGAAGGCAAAAGTTGAAAGGTCCCGCAATCGTCATTTCCGATGCCCTGATCTGCGTTTCTTTCTTTTTCGGAATAACAGCCATCGCGACGGATGCATGGAAGTACTCCAAGGAGATTGAAGCCAGGACTCGCCAATTGTCACTTCACGATAAGGAAACTTCTCCGAAGGTATGACCCCCCCTTCCACATACTCAGATGGGGGGAATCCCAAACTAACTTGCGTTCCCTAGCTCTCCTTCTTTTGCGGCTACTTCGTCTTCTCAGCAATGTGGTTCGCCAAAGGCGCCTTCGTAGTCTACTACTACCACCTTTTCACAAATCTCTCCAAAAAGCTGAGATACTATCTCATATTTGTAACTGCCTTCACCGCGAGTACCTACATTTTCACTATGCTCCTACAAACATTCTGGTGCCGTCCCATTTGGACAAACTGGACTCTCGACCCGCTCCGCGGCTGCTCGGCCACGGGGAACACCACCACTCTCCCGCTCTGGAGCTTCATGAACATTGTGACCGACATCCTTATTCTCGCTGTCCCGCTCTCGGTCCTGCACACTCTACAGTTGGGACGCAGACAGGTTGTTGCCTTGATTGTTGTCTTCCTGATCGGTGGGCTGTCGATCTTTGCCGCGGTAGCTAGATTCATAATCATATTTCCGAAGATCAAGAAGAACTCCAAGGCCCCTATTGTCCACACCTACGAGCTGTGGGCGTTGATTGAGATTATGTCGAGTCAGTTGGCAGTCTGCCTACCGGCGCTGAGAGGCTGGTTGAGGGGGAGGAAGGACAACCGCAGCAGGAAGGCTTGGGGCGGCAGCGAACGGAAGGCTGACAATGCTGTGAGTGGTGGAAGTGGTGGGAAGAAGCTGCGAGACAGTCAGGATAGTTGTCCGGACTCGGGTATTAGCAGGGTCGAGGGTGGGGAGGGGCTTTTGGGAAACGATGATAGGGTTTGAGATTGGGGTTTTTATTTTTATTTTTATTATTTTTTTATTCCCACACTAGAGGTTTATGATTTATTGATTGATGGATTGGAGTTTGGGTTTATATGACATCCTATTCTTGGAGATTTTCTTCTTCTTTCATTCCTTAACGTCTGTATTGGTAGAGGAGTTGTAGGAGGTTTATAGTTGTTTTTGTGCCCATGGGTAATGTCATTGTTGCCTTGGTTTGTGAATTACATGGCTGGTATGCGATTTGTGAGGTTACGGTACTGTGCTGTAAAACAAATTTATGTATGGCACCCGTACGTACAGTACAGTACGCATCCGCAAAGTTCTCATACCTTTCCTTGTATCTCAGGAGGTGTATCTATTAAAAACGAAGGAACAGGAAGGACTGTTTTCAGATATACCTCTAAACTTTTCGCACAATTTCCTTTTCCGAACAGTAAGAAAAGAGAGGCTTAGCAAAGCGTCTCCGAGGGGGCGGTGGTACTTGGAGGAAGAAGGGTATGAGAACATTACGGATACATTATGGACAATCCCACCACCTCTTCCGAGTCAATGATCCCTCCTTTAGCCAATCAGTCGATAAAGTCTACTCGTACTTGTACTGTGCTACAATCACGTCGACCCAATCACATACATTCGCATAATATAATACGGTAAAGGTCTCATCTCCCATTAATGTTTGCAAAAATCTCCTCAAATACCACAGTACCCTCAAATGCCACGGGAATATATTATGTAAGTTTTTTTAATAGTTAATTAATTAATTTTTAAAATTTTAATGTAAAGAAAATTTTTATATTGTATATAATTCAGAGAACGAAAAATGTAAGTACAGAATTGAGAATTAAATTAGCAAGAAGAAATTTACTAGCCATGTGAGCGGCGACAAGTAACTGAATTGTGTCCAATTCCCCCACATGTTGAGCATTTTTGTCTAGGACGTACAGGCTCATCCGGTAAAATACCTAATTGATTGGCAATCAGTTGTCTTTGCTGAACTTCACCAACTCGAATGCGCTCTTTTCTGGGTCTTCCACGGGGCTTCCGAGTAATAGGCGGCTTCACATGTAGAGCAATAGGAATGATTCCCTCATGGGGTACAGCTGGTCTTCCATTTCCTTCATTATTCGTAATATCGACAGGAAGGAAGTTGTCCTCATAAAACAATTCCCAGGTAGCGATGGAAAAGCTATTAGGAAGGTAGTTTTGGACAGGCTGCCATGATGTCAGTGATAACAAGATAAAGTATGAAAGTGCAAGACAAACCTGGTTGATAGTCAAGATACAAGTTAAAGCATGTCCACATGGAATGCCATTCTCCTGATAGTTAGAACAAGAGCAAGTCCCATGGTCAAGGTCCACAAGTTTCACAGCTCCATTTGGCTGGGTAACATGTCTGTGACATTCATCTGCCATCAGAGCAATATTTTGTCTTGCTCACACCCTGCTTTGACCCAACAGTTGAGTACAAAATTTGGTATACAATATGGTAGGACTAGTCGCAGTGGCCTCTCTATATCGTTCAAAGCGTTGACCCATAAGCTTATGCCAAATTGCATTTAGTAACTCTACAATAGATAGCTCACGATCAAGCTTCAGAGTACTGTTAACTGACTCGACAATATTGGAAGTATCGTGGCCATACCGCTTCCCCGGAAAGAAAGCCTTTGCCCAAAGTGTTGGATCAGCATTACGTAAGTACTGCTCAGCCATCGGCTTGACTTCCTGGACCTTCACCATTGCTGCTTCAAATAATTCAATACTTGGTACTCTTGCAACAGCCTAAAAGAGGTTGGATAAGCCTCTTCCATAGGCAGTTACAAGGTTCTCCTTGAGGTGCTGGCAGCAATAAGCTCGGATAACAGTAGCCGGTAGGTTCTCGGAGGCCCTCACTAAATCTTTATCACGGTCGCTCATGAGTGTCACTTCCTCACTACTCATTTCTGGAATTACCTGTAGGAGATTTAACAGAAAATACTCCCAAGAGGAAGCATTCTCACTTTCCACAATTGACCAAGCAAGCAATAATGTCTTTCCATTTGCATCAACCATTACGGCAAGTAGGAGAGTTTGTACAAACTTCGTTTTTAAGAAGGTTCCATCTACAGCAATAAAGCGACGGCACAAGTGAAAAGAGTTCCGAGACTGGGAAGGACATATAAAGATTCTCTGAAATCGATGAGTGGTATCCTCTGATAATAGGCGGATATATGTATTTGGATTTGCTTGTAAGACAGAGTTAACATATTGAGGAAGCTGATGGAATCCCTCTCGTTAACCTTCGAGCGTATTATCTAGTAGATGACTCTTTAATCTAGATACTGCTTTGTATAACAAGGTCTCTCTAAACTGGATACGCAAACATTCGATAATTTCCCTAGGCTTAGTGGCTTGTGTAACATTTATGTATCTAGGTATATAGCATTGCAGCCAGGCTTGAGTACCAGATACACAAGTTCTTTTTTCACGATTGCCTGGAAGACATGTATGCTCAGTCACTAGAACGCCAATTTTAACATCCTCTTAGTTTGTATAGTGTGCTCTCACTCGCCACTGGCAGCCTTCAGTAGCACAAACATAGATAGCTCTTATACTATCACGATCAAGAACTCTAAAGCTGAACTTTTCTTTAACTGACCAATCCTCAATGGCTTCTCGTACTTTGGTAAAGTTGAGAAAAAGTTGTCCTAGTACCGGTACACCAGGGAGTTGAGAGAGTGCAGACATAATAGATAAGACTCCAAGTCTCAGAAATGGAATTAAAGAAAGACCAGCCAACGAGAGTAGAGACCGAGAAGCCAGAGAGCAAGGAGCTAGAGAGCGAGGAGCCAGAGTGCAAGACACCAAAGAGTGAGGAGTCAAAGAGTGTGGCACCAGAGAGCAAGGAGCCAGAGAGCAAGGAGCCAGAGAGCAAGGAGCCAGAGAGAGAGAAGCCGGAGCACGAGGAGTTGGAGAGCTAGGAGCTGGAGTGCGTGGAGTCAGAGAGCTAGGAGGTGGAGTGCGAGGAGCTGGAGAGTGAAGAGCTGGAGAGCTAAGAGATGTAGAGAGAACGAAGCAGAAAGCCAAAGGCTAGAAAGAGTGGAGAGCCCAAGGACAGGAAGAGCGAAGAACAAAATGCCTGAACAAGCCAGGAAAAGCCAAGAGAGACACAAAAAGAGGGAAGGCCACAGAGCAGATAGCCGAAGGAGATGTCCAGAGAGGGAAGCTCTGAGAGGGAATACCAAAGGCCGGAGACCAAAGATCAGAGAGAGAGAAGACTAGTGAGCAAGGAGAGCAGAGTAAAAGTTCAAGGCGGAAGAGTCAGAGCCAGAAGGGAAGAGCTAGGAGCAGAGAGAGACGGGCAAAGAGAGGCAAGCAAAGAAAGGCCAGCGATGAGTGGAGAGTGAAGCCTGAAGAGGAACGGACGGAGTACAGGACAAAGACTAGGAAGAGCAAAGAGTCTCAGGAGAGGAAGAGGAAAGAGTAAAATGCCAGAACAACCGGAGAAGAGCTAAAGGAAAAGCGAAAAAAGCGAAGATCGTGGAGCTGAGAGTGGAGGAAGATCTCCAGAGAGGAAGTACCAGCGAGTGAATACTGGAGACGGGAGAGTAAGGAGCAAAGAGGGAAGACCAGCGAACGAAGACTGGACAGCAAGAAGAGGAGAGCAAAGGAACGAGAGCGACAAGAGGAGACCCAAGAGTGCAGAGCAGAGGGCAGAGCACGGCGCCCAAGACCAGGAAGAGCACAGCACCCAAAGCCAGCAAAACTGAACACTAAAAGACCAGAAAAAGCTGAAAGCCAAGGGCGGAGTGAAGACTGAGCAGCAAAAAACCAGATGGAGCAGAGAGAGAGATGCGGCAGTAGGAGCAAGAGTGGGAAATAAGGGCGGATGTAGATTGGCTGAAAAGATGAAGTAGTGGAAGGGGAGGAAGTTTGTAGGGAAAAACTAAGTTGAGTGGGAGAAAAAAAAATGGTGAAGTAGAAAATATTTCTTCTCATATTCTGCCAATTCCCTATTACAACTGCCAAGACTAAGTAAATAATTTATAACCAGAAACCTAATTTGTATTTTATTTACATAGTAGAACTTACATAATATATTCCCGTGGTATTTGAGGGTACCGTGGCATTTGAGGGGATTTTTGCAAACATTAATGGGAGATGAGACCTTTACCGAATATAATAACTCACGAACCCAGAATCTAAGCGTAGGATTCATACCGCTACGCGAACCATTCAGCACGTATCCCACGGACCGAACTGCCACAATGCACCACTTTCTCGCGAGACTGCCAGCGGGGGGGGGGTGCTTCGATGTATACTCTACTTGGTTCCCGGACAAACCTTCCCTCACACTGGAACTACCCTTTGGCGATACCGATAGCATGGATACTAATTGTACTTTTTGCATTTCCACAATTTCTTTCGGTATGTAACCGCCCCCCCCCCCCGACGAGGTGGAAATCCGCAGTTTACCGAAGCGATGATCCACCTCTCTCTCTCTCTCTCTCCCTTTTTTTTAAAAAAATAAAATAAAGCAATTTCATCGCGAGCGGTGCATCCACAACCACCCGGTACGGAGTTGACATCACTCGTGATACTGACCAGGCAACCAACGAAGTATTGACAGCGCGTCCTGCTCTGCCATATCATGTTCCGCGCGGGGCTTATTGCTAGTATGATACCAGTACATGTCGGGTGGGTATCATTGATGGCTAGTGGGGAGTGGGCCGTCTTTCCTACTACGGATTCGAAGGTCAATTATCATTCACTACCATCCTACAGGCATGGACAGAGCTGTGGTATCGTAGGGTCGGTGTTTGAAGTGGGGTTTCGCGATTCGGAGTTTGTGGGAGCGCTCGATTCGATCCCGGAGTGTGTGTGTGTGTGGGGGGGGGGGGAGGTTATCGCCTTCATGTTGGAAAATGGTGGGGGCTGGTAAATACTGTACCTCCGCTTTATATCACAACTTATGATACCTCTTTGTAACAAAGCCACCGAGTGATGACTCGTGACCTGTGCCGACTGCAGGCCAGGAGGACCCTATAAGTATCAGAGTCATCCTTCCCCATTGAACACTTCCCGGCTATGATATTATACTATACCGGTACCTCGCTCACTGCACCGGACGCCTATCCCACTACCACCCACAATACCCCTCTCGAAAACGAGCGATAGGTAGATCAAAAATCCGTTTACTGAGCAGGGTCGAGCGAGACCGGGAGTGGGTGAGTGGGGTGCCTCTAAAACTCGGGTAACCCATCGCACAGAATATGATCTGGTATGTACCGGCAGAGGACTAAGGCCCTGTTTGGCATGTCAGAAAAACTGAGTATTTCTCTTATTCTCAGTTTTTTCTTCTTCTGTATTAAACTAAAATTTTCAAGAGGTGTTTGGTAGATATAAAAATACAATGGTATTTTAAAACTTTGTTTTTTTTTATTCTCAGTATTTTTTATTTTTATTTTTAGCCCTGTAATTCATCAAAGACAATTAGGATAGGAATAACTCATTATTTTTTTGATATCAAAATTAATTATATACTTGTTTTAAAAATTAAGTTATACTATTTCATAGGTTAGATTATATAGTATTTTGTTTCCAATAATATATATAATTCATCCTTGCATATATTCAATTAACGGTAAAGTAATAGATGTTTATCGGTTTTTTTTATTCTGTGTCATGCCAAACAGGGCCTAAGCTATCATACCTACCGTACTAAGCGTGCCCTGTCATCCCCGAAGAGGACTCTGTCTCGCGGAGTATGATACGGTAGCAATTTACTTACTACACCCCATCTTCGAACGATCCAGGACTCAATGGAACGGCACGGGCAACGACGGATAAGTTAGAGGATTTACACTACCGGTGATCCCACCGCGGAAGGCCCAACACGCGGATGGTCAATCGAGCACACACACACACAATGAAGTGTGGTCAGCCGGACGACCCTCTCGCCAAAACCTGACGAGCAGAACAAAACCCCTGCAACCACCCCATCCTGCCAGTACTCGAGTACGAGTACTATACTCAAATCACCCCACCACCACTCCCAATACTAAAAATAGGCGCTTCTCACTGATTCCTTGGCATACAGACACATTCTTATCCGCACCGTAGCGCCTTTTGGAGGCCTTGTGGGGCGCGAGCGCTTGTGTGGGGGGTTACGCGCGTACTATTGTCTGGTGCCGGCACCGGTATTTTCCGCGCTGGGTATGGGTATACAATGCGCTTGCTTGTTCACGCTTTGGTCAAGTCAGCTGTGGTGAATCACGATTAAGCTCCCCGGTTCAAAGGGCCGAGTGCAGTGTACGGGTGGATAGAGGATGAATGTATAATATTATAAAAACGAATCCTATAATCATGTATAACTTTATTGAGATTTCCACATCCAAAATTCTGCGGGGTGTGATAGTGTGGAGAGGATCCCGATCGTAAGGTACGAATATCCGTGAAGGTGAATGTTCATGTGGACCCCCAGTAGCGTGCATTCTACTCTTTACCATTGTTCAAACTTTCAATAGCTTCAATCCTAGCCGTGATAGCACTCAACTGCGCCGACAAATCCGGGATCGGGACACTAGTGCCGGTGCCGCTCGATTCCCACGAGGCTCCCTCGGACTTTGAAGTGCCGGTGGCTCCACGCATCCTGATTTCTCCTCGGAGAGTATTAATGTAGTCGACCGCTCCTCGGACCACCGCGTCGGGATTCATAGATCGGGTTCCCGGGACAGCCACCGCCAAAGCCGCAATCGAAGAACTTCGGACAGCCTGGTGAGATGAGGAATCATCATGGGCCGGGAGAGCGATCCTTCCCTCGCCACCGACAAAGTGGAGCCAGAAGCACATGGTAGCAGACAGGGCGAATGCGATGCTGTACATTCATTCAGTTTTAACGTTGAATATGTAATTTCGCAACAGTACTGACCACAAGAATGACATCCATACGATATGGAAGCCCCGGTTGGAACAGCGTCCCCAGCTGCGGCTGCACAGCGCGCCCCTAAGATGGCCGCTGAGAGTACACGCGCATGCCGTGACGATGCACCCTACCATTCCGACGAAGTCCATGTGTCCGTTTATGAACCAGAAACCGAACTGTCTGAGCAGGGTTCGTCTCCGGTGGAGGTACAGCGAGAGAGATGTGTACATCAGAATAACGCCGTTCTGTCAAAGTTAGCTACGAGTTTTGAGAAGGAAATGCGAAGACAGCATCATACGTACCGTAATTATGATAGGGTAAATGCTCGGGGACCAGCCACACATAAAGTGTAGAATTGTCTTGATCACGAGAACCGCGGAGAGGAAGGCCTGAACGAGGCGGGCGTACACCCATATTTCCTCCCCCAGGGAGAAGTCAACGTTGAGAAAGCCAGCCTTGTGGAGCGAGGGGTAGTCCATGTTGTTATGAGTCTTCCTTGTCGTATTCGAGGTATCTAATGATTTTCGGGGTGACAGTTGCTTGTAGTGGGGTAGGGTGGTGGTTTATAAAGCTCTGTTGGAACGGCCCCCACAAGCAATGAACTGATAATACTGATCTGCAAAAACCCCTGTAACTGGAAGAGCTCCGCACCGTATCATACCGTACACTCACTCACCTTCCCCCCAAGGCTAACGGCCCTTACTCTACCGGCACAGTCAGGCAAACGTGCAATTCCGGCAGAATGCCCCACTCGAGTACCGTACTAGTACAGTACGACCATCATAGCGTCCGAGCACACATTGCCCGAAGCGAGGCAGTGAGTCGGGCGTTTCAGAGGTTGAACATAACATTCTTGCCTTGTCGTTTCCACCGTCGCACGAATATAGCCACCTCATGCCATGGCCTGGATTGAACAGTCATGCTTGGAGCGGGTTAGCCCAAGTGATAGGCTCTACTATTACCCCACCGAGTCGTTGTTGGTTCATCGCTTTCTACTTGTAACTGACGCTTATCTTCCACCGTAAAGCAATGGCACTATGACAGCATAGCGGTATGATCTGGGTACGGCAAAGGCGTCTGAGAGTGCAAACCAACCCCCGGCCAGCCCCAAATATAGTCAACTCCAAATTCCCCTACCGGTCGCCCAACAGCCATAGCCCCTACCGTAGTCTAACTGGGAGGGTTATTCCAAACCACTCGTAGACTCGAGTACGGCACTCGTACTATTCGTGCCAAGGTTGTGGCTTCTGAAGTAATTTTGTGGCTTAAACCTCACAGCTTAATCATACTATCGCCACTCAACCTCTTCCTATAGCTGCACATCATTTTGTTTTATAATTCAAAATTACTAATCTGTATTATTTTAATATTATTGTATACCTATTTCTGAAACTTTGCTTTTTGCTTAATACCCATTACTATCAACCTGGATATTTTCTTTTTGTATGTATGAACTGCACATCTTTGTTTTACTTGTACCTTTATCTCATCCAAGAAAGGCTTACATTCTTCTTACTCAGCTTTTTTCTTGGCATTTATAGCCTTACATAGCTGCTTTTCAGCCTTTTCCACCTATGCACTCTTTTTTTTTTTTTACCATCTGTCTTGCTTCAGAGGTATAAATTGCACTACAATATTGATTCTGTCAATAGTTACTAGCATGACATCTAGCATTTTGAGCTTCCTCTACTGCTCACTGATGTTCTAAATTTTCCATAGCCAATGCTCTTGCCTGTACTAGTACCAATCCACCTTGTAGTATAGCTTTCATACATTCCTGAAAGCTAGGTGGTAGATAACTTGCTTTATTTAATAGCTCCTTACTTTGAGCTTAAGAGGTACCAATAGTCAAAGGAATCTCCAATGTAGATTCTGATGATAAGGATTCCAGCTATAATATTGGATTCACTGCCTCATGTAACTTTGAAATTACAACTTCCGGATTGAAAAGAATTAGTCCAGTTGCTCTGAAGGTGGATCAAATAGTAGAGTTTAAAGATTTGCTACCATATAGAGTTGATAGTATTTAGGAATTCTGCCTTATCAAAGTCTCCACATCTTGTTCGTATTGCTGCCTCTACAGCCTCTGCATGGTAATATTTGTAGAACTGACAGATGACTACATCTAGTAGTTGGAGAAGGGGCTTAAACGTGGAGAGAGTGTTAGGCGGAGACAACTTGATAGACTTCAAGGTTGTCTAGGCCAATGGAGATTCGTTTTTGTAGACAGAGATTGTCTAGGAAGGCTCAGACTTTACTCGTTTCGTTTATAACTACTAGGAGCGAAGTAAAATAGGTAAAGTAAGGTAGAATCTTAAAAACAATATTATATTGTTAAGGTCTCTTCTCCGTTGCTTGATGATGTCTAAAGCTTTGGGAGGCACTCGATATTTATATTCTGCGTCTGAGTGTTCGCTGACTACATCTATTTATCATACAACTATGTACTTCTGCAATCGTAATTCGCAACGTCGAGTTTTCTTCCAAGGTGCAAACACCTGTGGACCTTGAAAACCATCACACCCTCTTCAGTAATTATGATATTTCTTTTTAGGAAATGTGCTGTCCCCAATAGTAATATCCCGATTAGCAGAGTTTTTAGACTTATGGCCTAGTTCCTAAGTCGAACTGAATTGGCTCCAATTGTCTTTGCCATTGATAAAATAATCAGTCTTATCCACGGCTATATCTGCAAAGGGGGTCGTCATTATAACCATTGTAGGTCGTCTGACTTCGATCCTTTGTAACTCTATACCCAACTGATATATTTTCTCTGGATAACTTCCTATTAACTTGCAGGAAGCTATTCCACCAGATTGGTAATTAATCCCTTGGTCGGCAACCTTTGGTTGCTCTCTGGGTAGTAGGTTTCAGTAACCATTGTAGTATTGAGAATCACCCATGGCTACGACACGTTCCGAAACCCAGTTACAACACTCCATGAAGTTCGTTGAATTCTTTGGTAATGTCTTTTGGAGTTCTAGACTCTTCTGGTGGATGTAAATGTATTGGTCTCTAGTAGAGATCCTTTACCATTTGATACCATCTCTTTGTGCGAAATCGTCCTGTTACCTACGGCCCATGCCAAAGGTGTCATGTCTTTGAAGCCAAGTCACTCTCTGAGTAGCTGACGGAATTACTCTGTTCCACTTCCCAGACCTAGCCGAAGGTCGCCTCTCATATATCCTGTGAACAGGATCCGGTCGGACGGACGACGACGACGTATATGGTGTTATTCTAACACCTTCAATTCTGTGGTAATGTAGTCACAGGACGCAACTGAGATTAATATATATGATGACGCGAGGGCCCCGTAAGGGAGCCGGAGGGGGGTGTTGGAGACCAGAGATTCCGATTCTGAGTGGGGTTAACCTACTTAGGGTGGTTCCTAGGTATTGGGTTCTGGTATTCCTAACAGAGAGGCAGAATACAATAATCTTATTATGCTCACAGTAATCAAGAAACTCTTTTATACAGTGTAATCTAAAACCATCAATAAGGAGGAGGCGATAGGTACCCTTAAGTTGCTATGAAGAAAACTGAATAAAGTGGCTTAGCCACTTCATTGTTAACTTATCATTGGTATAGTGTGTTTCAGATGTACCAATTAAATAATCATTTAGAATTTTGTTGTAGTGTACTATAACTCTTGATGTATGTGTCACGAACGTGGTTTAGCGAGAAAAGAGTTTTCACGTGACACATGGTTATAAGTCACAGGTATGTTATTGTTTCACGCATATGACCTATTCGGGTTATATGATTTGTTATGTGTGGGATTTGTGATGCTTTCGCACATGGCTCAAGTATGAGTCATGGGACATGCACCTGACGAGTGTGCCTTATGGGTAAGCCTTGCGCATATGATTTATGTTTCGCACATGACCTCATTATGATGTCATGGGTTTCGTGCATATGACTCAGTCGAGTCATATGACTTGTTTATTGCGTTATGATTGGTTTATGAGTTTTGCACATGACATTGCTATGAGGTCATGGGTTTTGAGCATGTGATCACTTTGGTCATATGACTAGTTTGTTATGATTTAGTTTCGCACATGTGACCACTTTAGGTCACATGACTAAAGGCGGGAAGAACACTATATAAGGAGGCCGATGCGGCCGAGGAAGATAGGTTCTTCACGCTTTATTCTAAGTACTTTTCCTACTTATTACTTTAGCGAATATAAAACACTTTTACGATCTTTATCTTTATTGCATTGTTATCGTTATGCCAAGGAAGGCACTTTACGAAGAAGAGTTAGAGAAAGCTTACGATAGGCGTTCCCGGTAGAAGACAAGGGTCTTGTACTATCGGTAACGTAGGCAGAGGCCTAGAGCTATCGTAAGACAAAGGAAAAAGAAGACAGGAAGAGAAGTATCGTTCCCCGTCGCCAAGCACTAACTATCCAGAGAGGGATTGTTACAGTATGATACAAGAAATGTTAATCATATGTGGTAATACCTCTCCATTACCACTTATAGTTTCACATACTATGATAAGCTGACAGTTGATAGAGCTTTCCATATAATACTCCTGATTTGGATCTTGGGTTATTATCTACTAGTCCCTTCCAATGTCAATCCAGAATCCTGTTTTATCGAAGTTAGATTGGTCTTGAGTCTGAATATCATGCTCCTCACAAATTGCTTGATATTTCTAAAACTATACTTGTCTGTCATATAGTTGATAAACATTTTTCCTATCAATATCAATAGTTTTGTGCTTGCAAACAAAGTATTTGGAATGGTAATCATGGAACAGACTAGCCCAGTAGTTAGTAACTTTAGGAGCTGAGAGTAGACCACTATGTGAGTATCATAATATAGCATTTTGTTAGGAATACCTGAATTCAATACCTAGAAACCACTCTAAGTAGAGTGACCTTACTCGAAATTGGAACCTCTGGTCTCCAACACCCCCCTCCAGCTCCCTTATGAGACCTGCACATCATTATACATACTTATCACAGTTGCGCTCTGTGACTATTGGGCCATGGAATTTAAGCTGTAAGAATACCACCATATATGTCACTACCGTCTATCTGACCGGATCCTGTTTACAGGATATATGAGAGGGGACCTTTGGCTAAGTCTGGAAATGGAGTGAATCTGTCAACTACTCAGAGAGTTACTAGGCTTTAAAGATATGACATCTGTGGCAAGAGCTATAAGTAACAGGACATTTTTATATAAAGATCTAATATCGAATGTTAAAGGATATCTACAAGAGACCAATACATTCGCACATACCCTATAATTACTAGATGAGTCTAGAACTCTGAGAAACACTACCACAGAAGCCAATGGACTTCACAGAATGCTACAACCAGACCTAGCAATGAGTTGTGATTGGGGGAATAATTCTCAACACTAGAATAACAACTGAAACCCTGTTACTTAGAGCAATCAAGAGTTGCTGACCAAGGGATTATCTACCAATCTGATAGAATAGCTTCCTGTAAATTAGTTGGAAGTTATCTGAAAGATATCAGTAGATTGGATCCAAAGTTATGGAGGTTAAAAGTCAGGCGATTTAGGAAGGTTGAAATTGTTACTACCTCTACAGATACAATCTACAGATAAAACTGATCATTTTATTGATAAAGGAGACAATTGGGACCAACTCAGTTCAACTTGAGAACTAGGCCATAAGTCTAATGACTCTGAAGATTGAATAATTACTATTGGAACAGTATAGTTCCTAGTTAGCAATATCGTAATTAACGAAGAGGGTGTGGTGATTTTTAGGGTCTCCAGTTGTTTACTGCTAGGTGGAGACAACTTGATAGACTTCAAGATTGTCTAGGCCAATCGAGATTCGTTTTTCTAGATGGAGATTGTCTAGGAAGGCTCGGACTTGGCTCGTTTCGTTTATGACTACTAGGAGCAAAGTAAATTAGGTAAAGTAGGGTAGAATTGTAAAAACAATATTATATTGTTAAGGTCTCTTCTCCGTTGTCTTGACTGATGTCTAAAGCTTGAGAGGCACTTCGATATTTATATTCTGCGTCTGAGTGTTCGCGGACTACATCTATTTATCATACAACTATGTACTTCTTTAATCTTAATTCGCAACGTCGAGTTTTCTTCCAAGGCGCAAATACCTGTGGACCATGAAAACCATCACACCCTCTTCGGTAATTACAATATTTCTTTTTAGGAAACGTACTGTCCCCAATAGTAATATCCCAATTAGCAGAGTCTTTAGACTTATAGCCTAGTTCCTAAGTCGAACTGAGTTGGCTCCAATTGTCTTCGCCATTGATAAAATGATCAGTCTTATCCACGGCTATATCTGCAAAGGTGGTCGTCATTACAACCATCGTAGGTCATTTGATTCCAACCCTTTGTAACTCCATACCCAACCGATAGATTTTCTTTGGATGACTTCCTATTTACTCGCAGGAAGCCACTCCACTAGACTGGTAATTAATCCCTCGGTCGGCAACCTTTGGTTGCTCTCTGGGTAGTAGGTTTCAGTAACCATTGTAGTATTTGAGAATCACCCCATGACTACAACGTGTTCCGAAACCCAGTTGCAACACTCCATGAAGTTCGTTGGCTTCTTTGGTAGTGTCTTTTGGAGTTCTAGACTCTTCTGGTGTATGCAATTGTATCGGTCTCTAGTAGAGATCCTTTACTATTTGATACCATCTCATTATGCGAAATCGTCCCATTACCTACAGCCCATGCCAAAGGTCTCATATCTTGGAAGCCTAGTAACCCTCTGAGTGGTTGACGGAATTACTCCATTCTACTTCCCAGGCCTAGCCGAAGGTCCCCTCTCATATATCCTGCGAACAGGATCTGGTCAGATGGACGGCGGCGACATATACAGTATTATTCTAACACCTTCAATTCTGTGGTAATGTAGTCACAGGATGCAACTGAGATTAATATATGTGATAACGCGCGGGCCCCGTAAGGGAGCCGGAGGGGGGTGTTGGAGACCAGAGATTCCAATTCCAAGTGGGGTTACTCTACTTAGGGTGGTTTCTAGGTATTGGGTTCTGGCATTCCTAACATTTACATCTTTGAAGAATACCCAACCTGGCATATTATAACCAGAGAGGTGTATAGTTTGTATAATAGATAAATTTAGTCTGCGAACACTCAGACACAGAATATAAATACCAAAGTGCTTCCCAAGCTTTTAGACATCATCAAGCAATGGAGAAGAGACCTTAACAATATAATATTGTTCTTATAATTCTATTTTACTTTACCTACTTCACCTTCCTCTTAGTAGTCATAAATGAAATGAGTATATATTTCAAGCCTTCTTAGACAATCTCCCTCTCCAGAAACGAATCTTGGTTGGCCTAGACAACTCTGAGTCTTACAGGTTGTCTCTGCCCAACACATTTTCACAACCTGAAATTATTTGAAGGCGTATACTAGTTCTAATTACATTTAGGCGATCTAGATATTGGCAGACTACAAGTTCTTGATCAACTAAAAGAACATGGTTTGGGTAAACTCGTTTCTGTTTTAATTGAACACCCTGCAGGTGAGCTCAGAGTCTTCATAAAAGTACTTCAAATTTGCTTGCAATTGCAGCTACATTTGGATACTATTCTTGACTGCTGTGAATGGAGATAATAGCACACTGAATTCTGATTTCAATATTGGCATAGGGGTCAACATGTTGACTTGGAAGGACAAAGAAGGTTGCTGGAGCCATAGTTGATAGTGAAAGAGATAATCATCAATATTAGAGATAATTTAAGGAATATAAACTAACAAGATGCCTGAATAATTTACAAAATTATATTTAATTATAATACTATATTGAGTGATGATAGTATGATTAAGCTGCGAGGTTTGATTAAGCCACAAAATTACTTCAGAAGCCACAACCTTTGCACGAGTACACCAACCCCGCCGCACCCAATGAAGTAATACATCAGCCAACCTTTGCTCCATATAGCCAATCAGCCCAAAGGGGGAAATGATAGTCTGTGTAATAAGCGGCTCTGAATAACCCAAGCATTGGTCCATTTGTCATGCTCTCTCCCTGTTGTGTATGATACACTCCAAATGCAACCCCCAAAACCGCGCTCTGTGATGACCACTAGGACCGAAGCCCTGCCAGTGAAGGAACAAAATTCTCGGGAAGCCAGAGAGGCTTATGAATGAACAGCGGTAGCGTGTCCGCCGTACCAGTGAGCTATTGCACACGAGAAGCAGCATTTAACCCGCGAAGAGGGGTTGGAGTGGGGAGTATTATTTCACCAAATTTAAGAGAGAGGGGGGGGGCGAGGGAGGCAGCAAACTTTTATCCATTCTAGCAAACAAATGCCATGACCCGGCGCTTATCGGTAGGACTACCTGCACCCTGTTCGGGAAAACCTGTATTCCGGAACACCAGCAACCCCGGTATGGGAAATGCCAAAGGAAGCAGATACAAGCTGGGAAAAACTCGGGTGACATTTTGTGACTCCCCATCAAACATTCAAGCTCACTATGATACTATCATGCCGACCATGTGCAGGAAATGCAAATCAAGTCAAATCTATCATAGCCAATGTTTTCCAAGATAGCACCACTGCATGTAACGCAAAGCCAAACATTACCACCAGCACCACTCCCCCATCCCTCCCCTCAACATCAAAACAGCTCAATCAAAAAAAAAAAAAAAAAAAAACCAACTCAGATCAGAACACCTCCCTTCTACACAATCCGGCACCCAATCCTCTCCCCCTGAGCAATTTTCAAACCAAGGCGTCCCCCAACCCTCCTAACACCATCCCGAACAGAGACAGCCCAATCCAGCACAATCGAAGAACTAGCACGCTCACAGTCTCGGCACACTATCCTACCCCGAAGCTGTGGGTTTGCCCGCACAATCGTGTCGAAGGTGATGAGTGGGTTTGCGGGGCGAGTGTTGGACATTTTGATTTGTGATGTGTGTGTTCTTGCCCGGATGATGGAGTGTGGAAGAAGGGGTTTTTATGCTTCTTGGAGATTGCTCTTTTCAAGATTTGTACAATTCGATTGGAAATGGTTTTTTTACTTTCAAGGCAGGGAGCATGGCATTTTTGACTGCAGGTTGGATTTTGGCCCAGGTGGCTGGCTTTCCGAGTGTGTCCTGACGCTTCGCGTAGTTATTCAAGTGGAAGACCGCCGCAGTGACATACGAAACTACGCCATTCACACATCTGCTCATGGAAGACGCCGAGTTGCAGATCATCATGGTATATTGATAAAAGATGCTGTATCCAAGTTACACTTTGCACCTCTGCGAGAGTGGTCGGAGTCATAATGTATCACCCACACAAAATCTCCTAATTAATAGAGCCAACAAAGCGCACTTCCGAAAAACCCTCCCTCACACCCGACTCAGGGGAATCACTCCACTTGGAGTTCGGCAATTCCAATCCCCAAAACTTAAATATGTGTGCTTGGAGCTATTGCGTTACTAATATTTAAATCGCCTAAACTTATTCGTGTCCAGCAATAAGGTGTGCTTCTCCTAATTCCTGGACTCTATGGAGGAAGAGTGCAAAAAGTATCAGCGTTGGCGAGCCCGTCAGGTTTTGGGTACGGCCAGAATGAACCCAGGCCATTTCCGGAATGGCCCAGTTGAACCACTCCTGGCTAACCAGCAAGTGGACGGGAGTTCAGGGCGTGTAAGCAATGTCACCAGTGAGCATCGCACACCCCCCCCATGAGCAATAGGCAAATTTCATATCAGACCAAAAGGTTTACGACAAAAACCACCACTACTACCCCACCACCCACTCCCCCATCCCTCATGTCTACGATATATGCCATGAAACACCTCACTCTAAACACCCTACTACCTTTCATCCTCAACTCGATATCCACCCCCACGACCATAATCGTAAACCGAGGGATGTAAGTTAAGGTGTAGCCACAACGACCCGGCAGCAAACCCTATACAGGCCAACACGCCTCACACATCCCATGGACAAGCAAGACCGAATCAGAGAGCGAAATATGAATGGATGGGGCGAACATGCGGACTCCCCAAGAAACCTCCCGCTCGTGCTTAAACTCCCGTGATGCGCATAGCATTGGACTCGTTTGTTAGCCAGGTTTTCCCTACAAGTTTACCACCGGGCCCACGGGAACGCACGGTGGGCTCCGGCTACATCAATGGATTTAAGAAACGAAAGAAAGAAAGGAAATGGATTCGAAATATATGGTATGTAGTAAAAGGTTTATTCTATGGAAAACAGCGGCACTTTGGGTATCTAAAATCCTGAACGGAGGCTATCTATCATACACAGCGCGCTGGCACAGTGCAGAGGTGCAGTTGTTTCAGTCCTCGCACCCTGTTGGAAGTAAACCTTGTTTCAATCACCGTGGTCTATATAATATTAGCTAAAATGGAGAGAATATTGGCTACGCTAGAGCGCTAGGAACTGATACCGAGGTTTTTACAAAGGATATGGACAAGTGAATGGATAGGGTGTAGCAAAGCGATACACCTGTATTCACGCGGTACGCCACGTACTCGCCAGCAGAGGCATCACCAGAAAGGTTATAAAAGGGACTCCATTCAAAGAGTGTCTAAATTGTGCCGAATTAACCATTCGACTACTTAGAAAAGGCTCTACAGCGTAGGGAACCATGACGGGTCGGGAAGAATAGACTCTTTACACCATGTGCTACGCAGTCGAAAACTCCCTACCTAGGAAAGCGGCGAAAAATAGGGCAAATGACGGGCTACGATACCCACTCGTACTTGCACAGTACGAGTACTCGAGTACCGCTATCATATAATTGGAAAATGTACAAAGCCTTATCAGAATAGGCAACTCCAACAGCATAGGTTAGTCTATTCATTCGAGGTTCCACCTACTACTCGCACCTTTGACATTGCTTCAAGTAGACTATTACGAGTGACGGGCAATGAACCTAAACCGTGAGGTGTACCCACATGTGCTCACAAACACATCAGGCTCCGCATTCACGGTTACATCTAAGGTAGTTTAGGCGCATCACATCATGCCACATCACATCATATAATCACGACTTGCGAACATAAGTTGAAAAAGCATTAATTCTTATCGCCGAAAATGCCGTAGGTTGTGAACGTCCGCAACACGATAATGATATCTAACCCCTATTTTTTGTCAAACTCCGAAAAAAAGCAGGATATTAGAGTAGAGATTAGGATTGGGAAGGAAAAAAACTCCCTACAAGAGGCACTCTCCCAAGGCGCAGCGAACGAGACTACAACCAGCTCTAATGGTTTCTCTAGCACTAATGCTCTCTGGGCCATCCCCGGAGAGGGCGGGGTTGACCTCGACCTGGCCAATGTTAGTAGAGGCCAATAAATAACGAAAGGAGTCATACGAGATCCATAGCCACGAGATATCCAGTCTCATGGATAACCTCGCATATAAAGTCTCCTTCTCTCAGGGTGAGTCCACCACGTACGGGAGTACCAGTGCTCGGGGCGCTATCTCAATTGGTAAGAGAAAGGCGTAAGTAGAGAAACGGAAACCTACACATATGGGTCCAAGGCGTCAACGTCGAAACTCAAGTGAATTGGCATACCCTCTTGTCCGGGGCCACAATTGATATGGTCAAGAGCCATGTCCATAACCTTGCCAATACCGTGTTTGTCAATATCGTGCATGCTGAAAGCGCGGATGCCATGATCTTTAAGTATCTTCTTCTCAGGAATATCGACGTCACGAAGGCCAATGTAAACAATCTTGGAAGGGTTGACTCTATGCTCATCCTTAATCCAACCAAAGACATCAGGGTTTTCCTTGGGTGGTCTGGCAATCCCAGTCAAAAAGGAAACAGGCATGCCATGAATATTGCCAGAACCAGAAGATTCAGGGGTGTTGATATCTGCATGGGCGTCAACCCAGACAAGGGCCATCTCAGAGCCATTGTGACGTTCACGGATTGCCTTTGCAGTGCCGGCAACAGAACCAATAGCAATAGAGTGATCACCTCCCAAGGTGAGAACAAGGCGTCCTTTGGAAGCATGCTCGTAAACTTGGTCGCAGAGAGCATGCGTAACACTGGAAACAGCAATGGGATTGATCATGGGAGCCTTTGCTCCAGCAGTGCGTAGCGGAAGGTCGGTTCCCGGTACGGGAAGGTGTTTCGCATAACCATGGACAACCCCATCGTGATAAAGAGTGTATTCCAAGGTCTCTTGAATATCGGCCAAGAGCCCAGACTCAATCAAAGCGGAAGGAGCGGCATCAACACCGGATTTGCACTACTCAAAAAGCTAATGAGGCTCAAAAGCACCACACTGACAAACAAACACAAACATGAAGCTCCCGGGGGGGGGGTATCGGGAAAGCAGAAGGACACAAGGGGGGATATATTTCAAACATACCTGGCCACCCGAGAATCCAACAGCAACTAATCCAAGCTGGTCCTTTGCGGGAAGGAACTTGGTAGCAATAGTTGAAGGAGCAGTCATTTTGACGGTTCGAATGAGAGATGCTCTTTGAAAGTCGAAGGATGAGAAAGATGGCCGCGGGGTGAGTGCAAAGATTGGAAGAAGGGCAGGAAGGTAAGGAAAGGAAAGTTTGTGGGAGGACCGGGAAGATTAGGAAGAATTGAAGGGAGGCTCAAGGGAAAGTGTAGGATATAAGGAAGGAAGGTAGCTTAACTTACGCGATCACTAATTGAAGGGTAACTTATGGAACATAAGCACAGAAGTGGACAAGTTGGCGCAAGCTATGAGGCTGAAGGGAAGATAGGAGGAGGGGAGAGGGGAGAGAGAGAGAGAGAGAGAGAGTAGGGAGAAATGGCGAAAGGAAGAAATGGAGAGGAGCTTGGTTCCTTAAATCATGTTTTCCCCCCGTGTTGTCCGAAGCCCAGACCACTACCACAGCCACCACCAGGAACCAACTACCAGGATATATCATACATACGATACTTAGTATGACACAACCTCCCGCGCGACAAGCCTTCCCTTCCACCTTTCCAGCTCTATTCTTCCGCTCCAGTTTGCGCAGAACCCGGGCGTGCGGGTCACATGGAGCATGAAAATCATCGCCAACTGGCCAACCCATTTTGCCCACACACACACGCACTCACATACAAAAGGCTATCAACGGCCCTGATGTTTTCCCCCCTCCTCGAATTCTTGTTTTACTTTATCTCCTTCCTCCTTTCCCATCCCCATCCTTTACGTAAACCGTATGGAGCGTTCCCCGCCGCTCGGTCTTATCGAGTTACCGGTATCGAGTCTAACACTTAGGGGCAGGTGCAGCCCTTGATAGCGGTGCGAGGATGGAAGCCTAACACTTAGAGGCAGTCAGGGCCGGGAGTGCAGTTGGGAAGCTCGCGTGCGATTGAACTTAGGGGAATTGAGGGGGGTTTTATCATATTTCGGCTTTTGATCGGCCCCTCATCTCGTGGTTGAAGGGATCCCCGATGCTTGGCATGGGGGAGGTGTGGGTAGAGGACAGGGATCAGAGTGATGCCGGGGTATCTGTTGTCTCTCCCTTTTCTTTAGTTTTTTCCTAGAAAGAAAGTACCCCCCCGTTCCAAGCCTCCCGTGTTCTACCATACAAGTACTCCTTTTGGAGGATCGGGCGAGGAAAAGAGCTCTAGTCTAGATGAATTTTAACACACTCTTGAAACACGATACGAGCATCACCACGGCAATAGTGGTCAGGCTAGGTTCAATTAAGGTTTTCCAGCTTAGCTTAATCCTGCTGCCAGGCTACTCGTACAGATACAGTCCCCGAGTAGATGTCCGATGGGTATGACCATTTCTCCCGGGACCAAGAAGTAAATACGGTGTCAAAGAAGCAACACTTCATCCTGCTGGTGCAGCAAGGCTATATATATAGTAAGATAAGAGATAAGATAAGAAGGACAGGGAGACAACTTAGTCCTACCACGGCACAATCACGGCAGTATCGGCAGTGGGGTCCAACAGAATCGATTACTCGAGTACTCGAGTACAAGGTACTGGCAGCTACCGTAGTATCATATTCACAGCTATTACCATTGTGCAAAAGTGCAATTGACACAGACGTGCATTTCCCACCATAATGGCCGCGAGAAACCGCCACTCAATATGACGGGGCGGGAGTCCCAGCTGCGTACTCGTGAATTACTTGTGCAGCACAGGACGGTGGCTACCGGTGCATTGCAGTGTATCATCCCGATACACCCTACCGTACTCGAGCATCCACGATACGAGTACCAATCTGCATAATGGTAACATGGGCGTCCATACTCGTACTCGAGTAGGTTTAACCTCACGCATAGTGAACCTACCTACGGAGTCCAATCACAGCCTCACACTCGCATCGTGATCTGAGAAAGGGTTGTTTGCATCGCAGAGCCCCATCGTTTTCAACCCCCCCTCGTTGTGCCGCTCGCATCCAAGACCAAAGTGAAACCATAGGAACTCAACCTAACAGATGAACTAAAGAAACGGCCGCTAAAGGTTAGGTTTCCCGCACCCCTCCACCATAGTCTATAATACTCGTACGGACAAATTACGGTAACGCCGCCACAATATCCACATACCATCCCCACCACCACCACTACCACCACCACAATGCCAATCTTGCCCCAAATCACCCCATCAGATAAATATCTCTATCTCTCAGCTGGTATGATACTTCCCCCCATTTTTCCCCTTTGCCCCTTTATCAACCGGCTGACCACAGTTTTTTCAAAAAAAAAAAAATCAAAGGCCTACTGGCAATATACGCCATTTACACTACTCACTCCCAACTCAACAAGTTCCGTTCAAGATGTGTTTCGAAACCGAAGGTGGTACCGCCGGATGCGGGAGTTGATCAGACGACCGAGGATGGTAAGTATTATTTATTTATTTTCCTCCTCTCCCTCTAGCCCTTGGTACAAAGTGAAGTTGGGAAAGAAAGAGAGGTGGAGAGAGAGAAAACTAATCATGACACAGCAATCAAGCTAGAAACCTTGGAAACCCTAGCCCGTGGGATTAACGTCGATATTCGGAACGCGTACTCCCCCTCCATCCCACACACAATCCCAACCCACTAACCAGGAGCCACCAGCGCCCTGAAAATCATAACCGACCGTGCGACAACCGACGAAAACATTGTCCACCTCCTCTCGCAAGTCCGTTCCTCCACGCCCTCGCAGCGCCTACGCTCTCTCCGTGCGCTGCGCTGCTGCACCTACAGCACAACGCTGCAGAAGCTCTGTCAGAAGCTTACCTTCAGCGCCCTCGTCAGCTGCCTCAACAGCACCCTGCCCACAGACGAGAACCCCACCGGCGACCCGTTTAGCGAGAAGGAGGCGCTCTACATACTCGCGAGATTGATGGGGCTCTACTTTGTCGGCAGGGAGATGCTGGTCGATGCGGGGTTTGTGCTCTGGTTGGCTAGGGCTAAGGTTCCCGGATACGCGAATGTGGTCGAGGCCGTGTTTGATGATGAGGGCGTGGATCTCGTGGATCCGAGTCTTGTTCAGATTGTCCACGTGCTCCAGGAGAGTGTTGAGGCTAGGGGGGCGCTTGAGGATGCGGGCTTTATGTTGAGGGCCAGGGATGCGGGTGGTGGAGGGGGTTCGCCCGACGGGGGGAGGCCTGGGGAAGGGAGTGAGGGGGAGAGGGAGGACGGGCAGCTGGAGGCGCTGGTTAGGAATGTCTTTATGGGCATCGGGAGGGAGCGCGCGGGCAGCACCAATGGTACCGCAGAGCCGGCGCTTGATGAGTTACTGGACGATGAGGCTCTGGTTATGGCAGGGTGGGATGAGGAGGTGCTTGATCTTTGAGCTCGACTTCTTGGTGGGATGTTACTCCTTCCTGTACTGTACAGTACCACCGTTCACGACACTGTATGCCCAATTACCTTTCATGTAGGTCTATTCAGTGCAAACATTCTAACTATAACATCGCCCTGAACGTCCCCACGGCGCCACTCCCACTCCTTTCCCTAAACCTCTCCCATGCAATCTCCACCTCCCTTGCTCCATCATAGCTAAACAAGAAGTTCCGAAACACCGGATCCCTCCACTTGTTTGGAAATCCGGGCTTGATATCGTCTGCCAGCAGTACGGCATCCCTCCTCCTTTGCTCCTCCCCATCCTCCATGTGGAGAATATCCCTCATATTCGTGCTCCCCACCACAATCTTCGTAGTCCTATTCTTCCTCAGGCCCTCATAAACTCGGAGCAAGCCCGGCAACTGTGACCTATCCTCCAACTTCCCGAGCAATCCCCCCAACACGCCCCCATCCTCCACGGCTATCGCAGCGCCCTGAGCCAGGTATGGAAGTGTGGCATGGCAGGCATCCCCAAGTAACGTGAATTTCCCGGATGGATGCGTCCACGAGGCCATTTCTGTGCTGTTTTGCAGACGCCATTTGCTGACGCTGGAAACTAAGCTGATCATCTTTTTCAATCTCGGGTCCCAGGATTTGAAGAGCTGGAGGACCTCAGCGGGGTCGGCGGGCATAACGTTAACGCCCCCGGGCATGTTGTCTGGGCATATTAGGACCATGTTGTAGTAACCCCCGCCCTTTAGGAGATAGCAGACTGCATGGGCTTGTGGGCCTGTGGGTGTCTAGGTCAGCCTCGTGTCACTAGTTCCAGGGAAAGAGGGCATATCCCACCCATCCAAGTGTTGATTGCGGGTTTGCTAACGAACTCTTCTAGGTCTTTATGCTTGCGCATTTCTTCGGCCTTTACGAGTAGCCGGTATGCGAGATCGCCAGTCAAGTGCGGAGGATCCGAACGCCCCAAAAACTGCTCGCGGCACTTCGATTTTAGTCCGTCGGAGCCAACGATCAGATCTGCCCCTATCGTGCGCCCGGTAGAGAGCGTCACACTAGGGGCTTCAAAGTCGATCTCCGTCACCATCGAATTAATTCGGACTTCTATAGTTAGCCCCTACCCCTAGTCAATTGGGACGGTGAAGGACAAGAACCCACTCCTAACACCAATAGCATAACACTTCTCCACCAATACTTTGTGAAAATCAGCCCTATGACAGTGCCAATAAGGCCCTCCGTAGACCTCCTCTGTGAGCGGGACTAATGGTTGCTCATTGAGTATGCTTCCATCCCGGTAACTGCGTAGCCGTATTGTCTCCGGGAGGACCGACACTCGATCCATTGCCTCGCGGAGACCCCATGATATTAGGAAGCGGGCCGAATTTGGGGGTATTTGTATGCCTGCTCCGACCTACCCGCCGTCAGCACACCTCACTACTCAAATCATAGTAGGGAAGGAAGGCATACTTCAGAAAGAGTAGAAGCCTGCTCTAGCACGAGTACCTCGTGCCCAGCAAGCCTAATCGCAATAGCAGCCGATAAACCGCCCAACCCCGCGCCGACAATCAATACGTTAAGTCGTGGTTTTGGCATCTTGGGGTGTATGAACTCCCAACGGTGGGGGGTGGGCTCGCAGTGGGCATATATAGTGGTAAAGCGTAGTATTATTCATATATTCAGATACGTACGCCTTCACACTTGTCCGATCCCGGAGCTCGATAGCATAGTACCGTATACTGCCCCACCATAACGGCGACCTCCCTCGCGTAGCGCTTCCAACCCATCCGTGCACTCAAAAGCCTAACACTGTATTTCCTTGAGCCAACCCCCGGAACAGACCTCATTTCTCTCTTTCTTTGAGGGATGGCCGCTGCACACTCCGGGAGCTGAGTAGTCGTGGTAAATTTCCCAAACCGGCGCTGCCCACCTGGAGCAGGGAGGTGGGATGGTGAGGCCATGTAAAGAAAAAGAAAGAAAAGGAGTGGTATCGGTATTAAAGATCGGCAAGTGGGGTCGGAGGGGACTTGTGGAGGATGCGGAGAGTGGAGCTTTGCTCGTTCTATTCTATAATACGGGGGATGATATGATGGCAACGCGGACTGCCCCATCGTATCGTATTGCCCGTGGGAGGAAGGTGTGAGATAGGGGGGGGGTGGAGGGAAGGAGTGATGATAGGTAAGGGCGAGGCTACGAGAGCAAGTTGATATTTTCCCGTCTCGGGTGGTCCCGAGAGATGCAGAATACCCGGGTATGTAAAGTACTGTACGATACGAGTACTCGTACAGTACGTATGCATCCAGAAGCACGCTGCACGCCCGTGAGACAAACACTCTCGCATCTCTTGCCTATTACCTGCAGTATGATACCATGGATAACTTATTGGCACGGTAGATCGCGCATAGCTTTGTTGCTGTAAGTTTACACTCCAAAGTGATTGTACAGTACCCCACAAGCGGTCTACCGCAGTTCACCACTGTCCAATGCTCGTACCCACAACTACGCGTACCGTACAGTATCATACCAGCGTTCCAAGCCCTCCACAATCAATCAATCGCATTCCTCCCCCGCCATCTCAAGACCACCCAATCCCAATCCCACCCCACGTCCATAACCACACCGCGGCCATAATACCGTGACAGAATCCACATCATCTTGCTGTTTCCTCTCTATTTCATTTTTATTATGTTTTATACCTCCAAAAAAGAATACTCCAGAATGAAAAACTACAGCATCGGGAGTGCCTCGCGGCAAAGCCCCGCACTGACACACGTTAACCACAATGCTCCGACTGCACACATCGGCAATTTCCCGGTATGCGTGATTGTTTGTAAGTTCTGTATAATCTTGACTTCATGGTGATCTGATATTGGCTCTATGCTGCCTAAGGTTAGCATAAAATCTGGACCCTTGAATGGTATGGACATTGTGCCGTGGTATGGTACTCGATTTCCCCGCGCTGATCCCCCCGGTGTTAGCAGCGTCACCACTTCCCCTTTGCTTCCAGGGTAACTAATATTTAATAGCTAACCGCAAGGATACCACCGAACCGGTGTGCTGGTACTGGTACAGTCTTCAATGGCGGCACCGCGAATATTATACCTGTACGAGTACTGTACCCACGGGCGACGAACAGGGGTGTCGGGAAAACGAAAAGATGGATCGGTTAAAGCAGGGTAACGAAAAATTACCTGTCACTGATCCTTGTTCGTCGCCCGCCCGTACAAGTATTTGTCGTGCCCTATTGGAGATTGTATTGCCGGTAAGAGATTGTACGGCACTCATAGTACCGTACTTTACTCGTACTCAAGTATGCAGTACATATTAGACTATACCAGTGTCGCACTAGTACTAGTAACCTGAGCCGGTACTCCGACATTTTGGTCCTATTTTTCCGGGAAAAATTCCGGTGTCATGGAAAAAGGAAAAAGGTATAAAAGGGAAAAGGAAATTAAGAAAAGAAAAAGAAGGAGTAAATTTACTTCCTTCGAAACAAATGGCGGCGGGCTAAGTGAGCGGCTGAGCAGTGACGAGTTGGTAAAGGAGGTGATGAAGTCAAGAACCTCAAATTTTACCAAAGACAGGAAAAGAAAAGGAAAAGAAGGGAAAACCTGACTCCGAAAAGCTCCTGGAGACCAATATTGGCAGTATAAAGGCTTGCATACACCAGATAGAGTGAGAGACATGAAACCATCCCCCACGAGCCCCTGATGATATTGCGAGTATTATTTATTCATTTTTATATCCACAACAGTTCATATTGCTCATCCTGAGTTTCACGCATGAGTATCCCTAAAAGGCACTTCAATACTGCATCGATTAATCAATAATTGCCATAAAACCCTCGCCCTTGTTTATTCCCTGTGACTTTAGCCTTCATACTTTTGCCCCTTCAAATAGTACCAGTACTGTTCTGGTTCATATAATATCACCCGGTTCGACCTAGTTTTTGTAGAAATCGTATGATATCACACATACTTTTTGCTACGTATGATAATTATGACTAACTGATGGAATATCTGATACTGGTCTCATTCGGTCTTCTCTTGTCTCCCGTGCTGTACGAGTATAGTACTATGTGTGATTTACAGCTCTTTTTCTATTATGATAATTATTATTATTATATGATAGTATGTTGCTATCTCACTGTATAAATAGACCCTCTCCTGATGTCAGGTGGATGAGTGACTTCGCCATTGTGGTCAAGTCACTCGGCCACCTGCAGGGTTTTTACTTCCTCCAATGAGAGCTCAATTAAAACGGTGGACAACTCACTCAGCCACTTGGCAACGAATTTTACTGTTTCCGACACACTTTCCAAGGTGTTTGTAAACACCGACAACATTCGGCCTCACCTCCCGATCTGTGATTAGGCATCAGGATTCCCGCAAGGATGGATTCGACGGAAGAGAATATCACGGCAAGCACCGTTGCCATGGGCTCCCAGTGTAAAGATGAGCGTCTGCAATATCTTATGGAGCGGCTGGTGACGCACTTGCACGATTTTGCCAGGGAAACGCAGTTAACAACACAGGAGTGGATGAAGGCACTGATTTTCTTGAAAGACGTTGGTCAGATTTCTTCTGATACCCGCCAGGCACTTTCCCCTCCCCACCCCCTTCCAATTTCAAGTGAATAACGGTGAAGTATTATAGGAGTTCATCCTATTGTCAGACGTTCTCGGCCTCTCAACCCTTGTTGATTCAATCAACAACCCCAAGTCCGCCAACGCAACCGAAAGCAGCGTCCTTGGCCCATTCTACACCGACAACGCACACTTCACCGAGAACGGGGCTTCCATCGCGAGCCAGAACAGAGGCGAGCCTTGCCTCGTTCGATGCACACTAAAAGACACATCCGGGAACCCAATCCCGGATGCCACCATCGACGTGTGGGAGGCTGACGAGACGGGGCGGTACGACACCCAGTACGAGGACGCGGCTGGCCCGGATTGTAGGGGTGTATTGAAGAGCAATGAGGATGGGGAGTTCTGGTTCAAGTGCGTGAAGCCGGTTTCGTATCCGATACCGCACGATGGCCCGGTGGGAGAGCTCCTGGGGGTGCTTGGAAGACATCCTTTCCGCCCCGCGCACTTACATTTCAAGATTGAGAAAGAGGGGTTTGATCAGCTTATAACGCACCTCCCCCCGTCCCATTTCCTCCTCCTCTGCTCTCTGGCCAACCAAGTAATCAACTAACTGTGGGAAAGCGCACTCTACCTCCGCGGCGACCCTTACGAAACCTCCGACGCAGTACTCGGCGTAAAGTCTTCCCTCCTAGTCACCCCGCAAAAAGTGCAGGACCCGGAGATTGCGGCTAGGTATGGCATCAGCGTCAGCGACTGGGACATTTTGTGGGATTTTGTCCTCGTGGGGGAGGCCGAAGGGAGGCAATTGAAGAAGGATCGGTCCGGGAAGACTGGATACACGGGTATGCTCCCAGGGAACCAAAACCTGCCTATGAGACCAACTTGATACGAGATTTCTAAATTGGGAATAGTATCTTCTTGATTAGGTGTAATACAATTTCCTCCGGAATTGTTCGAATGATGGATTTGGTGGGTGGTTTTTTCTTCTTCCGTTTTCACCTAAAGTTGCACAGGAAGTCGTCGTCGTAGATAGGTTGGAATTGAAGGCCAAAGATGTTGCACATATTTGTCAGTAAGATTCTAGACGTTGATTTCGAGCCCATTAGGAAGGAAAAAGGGAGATAAAAAAAGGCATTAAAGGCTTGGAAAAGGGGATTCATTACTAATCCACCAAAGGAATCCTTTTTACCAATTACGGATATTACGGATAATAATAGTTCAGCTTGGTTTCTGTTTTTTTTCCCGCACCACACACCGAATTTCCCCGGATTAGGACCTCCGCTGGTTTTTTTTTTATTTTTTTTTTTTAACTCATAATTCTTATTTTAATAGGACAAGATGTCGCATACAGTAACTAGACTATGGCGAAAGAAATCCTCAAATCAAAACAACAACAAAATAAAACATTCCATCACAACTTCTCTTATGATTCCCAAATTTTTCAGAAAAACTACTGAACATGTACTACTACCAGTGACTAACCAATATAAAGAAAATTTAAACACAATCTGCCAATCTTAATCATAAAAAAACTTATAAAGCAATTGTGAAACAACATGAATATTTCTTGAAATGAAATGACACCGTACTAGGCATCATCACTGTCTGAGGGCCATTCAGGGGCGGGAGCGGGGGTCGCCGAGGTGAGGCATGGTGAGGGGGGTCGTGAGAGGGGTGTGGGTGAGGGCGGGAGGAGAGGGCTTTCCCAGCCTTGAGGCCTCTTGTTGGAGGGGGGGTAGTTGATGCGCGCAGCATGGATGAAGTTTGACAGTTGTAAAAGTAAAGGGGTGGAGGACCAGACCAGAGCATCGTGGGAGATAGAAAGGACGTCAGGCATGTGGAGTGACCGTAGCAAGGAGGTAGCTTCTCAGTCGACTAGGGCATGTTCCATAGTTTTGGGTGCAGAATCGCACCAAGGGCAGATTGTTGAGTGGTCATAGGGGAGTGCCATGAGGGGTGGGCAGCCAGGTAGCTTTTTCCGGTTCTAATTTGGTGTATACGACCTGCTGTAAAGTGGTCAAGGCCCATGAATGGGTAGGGGGTTGTGTGGTGGGAGGCTTGGTAGGAGTCTGGGGTGGGGATAGTAGACCATTCGTGTATGGAAAGGAAATCAATGGTCTTGTAAAGGAGGAGGTATGTTGGGGAGGTGCTAGGATCTTTCTGCTGTGTGATTGGAGGGAAGTGACCTTCAGATGATTTAAGGAAGGCTATTATATTGAGGAGTGAGTCCAAAGGAAGGTGGGTAGAGGCACCTGGTTTGCCGGTTACAGGGAGGTGCCACGAGCGAGCACTGTAGGAGCCACCTTTAGGGATGAGGAGCCTACAAGTAGAGGGGGAACTGTAGGGGTCGTGGCAGGGGAAGCATTTAGCCAGTCTTGCGAATACGGGATTGGTCATAGGGGAGGAGCAGGCAATTCTGAGGGCAGAGAGGTGGCGTTTGTGAGTTAGGCAGATGTGGAGGGGTAGAAGACAGGCTTCAGTGGAGAGTGTGGTGACGGGAGTTGAGGAGAACAGGTTGGTGGACTAGCGGAGAACTTTGTTCCAGAAGATGGAGAGTTTGTCTGACATCTTTTTTGTTGGGACAAGTATTTTCATTCTATAGCTAAGAATGGGTAGGATGAGGCCTTGTGCTAGGCGGTGGTTGAGGTAGGGAGGGACTCCTTTTCCTGGGGGGGATAGCTGCCAAGTGATCCTAAAGGCTCCCTGTGCTAGGGCTAGGCATTTTTGGCAGTGGATAGATGTGCTTAACGAGGGAGTGAACTAGTAGCCAAGTCGTTGCAGCTGCTTGGAGGGTTTAAACTCCTGACCTTGCGGTGTGATGGGGTTATGGGGTGGTGGGATCCATTGTTGGGCCGTGGTCCATTGAATAAATTCTGTTTTGGGGACCGAGAAGGATAAGTGCAGGGGGGTGGCTGTGTCACATACCCCTTTAAATAGCAGTTTAAGTGATAGGATATTTTCTTCATATGAGGGGGAGGCTGTGGTGATTGCGATGTCGTCGATGTAGGAGATGGTGAGTCCTTTTGGGACTGGGATGTGGAGGGTAGAAATGTAGATGAGGAAGAGTAGGGGGGAGAAGGAGGAGCCCTGCGGGGCGCCCACTAGGACCTCCGCTGGTAATCCGGCCAGTTATGTATTTCTGGCCCCAAGAGGGTCTGCGGAGACCTTTCCTGGATGGGATACGTTATCCTCCTTTTGGGTACTGTAGAAGCTGCGGTCTCGATCGTTGTTGCCCAAGTACAGGAATCAAAATTTTGGACAAGCATGGTATGATGAATTCTTTAGACTCGTATAGGCCTGAGAACCCCATGGGGTAACCAGTACCGGTACCAAATCCAGACTCAACAATTCACGTACCGGTATGGGGCTCGGGTATAAGTGATGGGATGTTTGTATATACAGGGTGGTCTGTACCCTGCAAAATTTCCTGTTTAGGAGGTGTTTCGATAGGTGTGCTTTTTTCTATTTCTAGCCCAGTTATGTTCTCATAGCTAGACAAGTTCAACCAACTCCAACAACACAACAGTTTGGTCTCGGACAGTCACCATCCAAACTGGGTTCAACTTCATCCCGTTTGCTTCTCCTGTGTTAAGAAATTTACTACATCGGTATTTAAGTCAGTTTCTCTATAAGCTATTTATCGATTTACCAGTCAGGTTATCAAGCAATTATTCCAACAAGGTGCAACTCGGCCAACACACCATCCAACTAAGGGAAGAAAGCGGAGACCTCCCAACATTGGTGCTCTGAAATGGATTGGTGTTCAATTTGGCAACTTGTTTCATCTTACCTCAAGGCCTGTTTGTGGTTTGACTGTTTGTTCTTGTTCTTTTTGCTGAAGCCTTTTGTGTATTTGATAAAGTAGTACTGTTTTGAGTGTGTGACAGGACATTGCAGACATCCTGGACTCTTCAGCTTCATCACCTTCAGGGAATTCACAATCACCTTTGCCATTGGTGGAGCCAATTCCTAAATGTCTAGGCCAAGCATTTTAGCAAGAAAAAGTGGAGTCAGATAGGCCTCCACTATCAGCACCAGAAGTCGTCAACACTCTTTACTTTCAACGAAACGGCTACTGGTATTCTATTCCAAGGACAAAAGCCCTGGAGCCATCTACTTCAGATCCTGAGTTTCAACTTCTATTAGAGAGGGATTTCGTTCCACCTACATTTTTTGATCGCTTATCACCAGTTCTTCCTAGTTCAGCAAGTGGATCGGAGTCTCTTCCTGCAGCTGTTAAAGTTATGATACATCCACAATCCCCTTGTATTGCCTTTACTGGTAATAGCTCTTTGGGCATTAAAGAATTTTTAAGTTGGATGGAATCTTAGTTCGCTTCCATGGGTGATGAGTTTGATGGTAAGACAGTTCAGTCCAGAAGAATGAGAGTGGCACAGATCTATTGCTTCACACTACGGGCAGAAGGTAAATATGTGATCA